CCCAAAAATAATTTCTGAAGTTTGCTTACCTAAAGGAAGAGAGATACTGAGTGGTTCTAGAAGGCAAGCTGGCAAAAACTATAAAGTAGGAGGTAATCCCAGTAGTTGCTTTGAACTCCAGATATGGAGCAGGAAGCTATTTAAGGTTATAATAAACTTCTTCACTGTTTTAAGGGCAGGAATTTCTTAACAGTGATAGCCACTAATGAAGATAGTTCCATTTCATAGGCTTTTTGGGTAAGAAGCATTTATTATTGCATTAGTTCCCTTTCTTCAGGTGGTCAGAAAGCCAATGGCTTTAGCATTTACTAAGCTTGCCCTTTTTGAGGATAGAGAAGTATGGAAACAAAAGCAGCTAGAAGTAAGTGGGAGAATGAACATGAGCACTGGTTTGCACCAAAGAATACTAGGCTATTGCTAAGAGTAATCAGACTAGCAGTTACTTGCTTGTTGTATTTTTCAGGGTAAGATGAGCAGCAGATCCTTTCCTCCCAGAGGTGGTACTCACGACATAAGTCACTTTCCTAGTACAGGTCTTGTGGGGGTGAAAGCTGATCAAAGCCATGCCTGGGTGCCTGTGGGGTGCTTCCATCTGGCTGCTGTGGGGCTCAGGCAACTTTCCTAGCAGCCATGTGCCCACTGGGCTCAATATGCTACAGCCACCACACTGGCAGTGCGATGCTTGTTCATAACCTCCCTCAGGATGCTCCAAGAATGATTAGGACCTTCCACTCTCAACTGTGTTTCCAAAAATGGGAAACCAGGATCCTCAGAAACAAAATGCTCTGCCACTACCGCTGTGTCACATGTTGGACCAAGTAACTGTCTCATGAGAAATGTCTCCACGAGTAGTTCTTCTGGTTCCACACCATCTCCTGAGATGCAGCAGATGTACTCTCCCAAACTGCAGTACCTTATGGAATATTACAGTTCTCGTAGATTGTTAACTGCTTCTTAATACTTTCTTTTTTAAAAAAGAGTTTGAACATGACTATATGACTTTATTTTTTTCTGGACATAAACAATATCTTACTATTTTTGACAACTTCTTATGAGAGTTATATTTCTGATTCCTCCACCTTGAAGAGAATGATATGGGATATAGTGTCTCTGACCAGCACAAGACTCAGATACAAAAGCTCTAAACTGTGGTTAGTGTTACTGGAAGTAGTACCCATATTCCTAGTGAAGTATAACCTGGTAGGCACCTAAGCATGACACAGCTCCTTATTCACTATCCCCCAATGGGATGGGGGGAGAGAAAAATAAGAAAACTCATGGGTTGAGCTGAAAGCCATTTAATAGATAAAAACAAACAAGCAAAAAACGCCAAACAGAAAACCCTGAAGTGATAGCAAAAAGCCCACAAGCTCAGCACCAGCTTGTCCTTAAACAGCAGCAGCCCTGGCAAACTCCTCACTCCCATCCCTAGTTTTATATGCCAAGCCTGATGCCCTGTCACCTGTGGTCAGCTGGGGTCAACTGTCCTGGCTGTGTTCCCTCCCAGCATCTTGTGCACTCCCACCCTCCTCACTGATGGAGTGGGCTGAGGGGCAGAAAAGGCCTTGACTGGGTAAGGTCTGCTCAGCAACAGCTGAAACATCCCTGTGTTATCACCATGTTTCCAGGAAAAACCTGAAGCACAGCACCACTGCACCAGCCACTATGAAGAACATTTAACTCCATCCCAGCCACACCCAGTACAATCTTCATGACAGTGAAAAATAGGCAAAACTTTATCCTTATCAAAACTGAAAATCTTGCAGATAAGAGGGTGACAAGGATTTTGTCCTTCTCTGATACCTGACATTACCTCCTTTTGTATCAATAATGGTTCTATTGCTGATTTTCACCTTTACTGCTCACATTGCCACTCAAAGCTGCCAAGTCACCCAAGTGAGTTTACAGAGGTAACCACCTCAGTCTTGGCAGACAGCACTGAGTTTTCATACTCCTTTTAATTTCCACCTTCTTTTTAATTTTTAAAAGGTATCTGCAATATTAAGAAGTGCTAGGAGTAATTTCTGTTTTCAGGAGCTCTGAAGGTGACATATAAAATTCCTTCATCACAGCATGTTTCCTTTCCCCAGTGTTCTTCCTACAGCTTTCCAGAGCCCCATTGAGGCTGATCACTTGACCAGGAACAATTTTTTTTTACATGATGTGAAACTAATCCACAATACTTACTTGTAAAGCAACCAAGACTAAAAGCCATGTTTCTTTCTTAAGTTAAGGGACTGCCATAGTATATTTTACTTAAATCAACTGCAAGCATACATCACAAAAGGTTAAATGCAAACATTCAACAGAATGCCAAGTATTAGATGGAAAATCAGTTACTTATCACTTAGAAATGTGAATTAAACCTTTCACGGAAATAGCACTTAAAAAAACTGAAAAGACTCCCTAGTTCACAAGTAAAGTTTAATCAATTAAAAAAAAAAAAAATCAGATGAAGCAAATGATTAGGCATAGTGAATGGGGTTACCTCAGGCTGGCAGCTGGTCACCAGTGGTACTCCACAGGGCCTAATTTTAGGGCCAGTGCTCTTTAATGGAGATAGACAAGTCAAATGTCCATTGAGTGAGTTTGCTGATGATACTAAATTCAGAGGAGCTGTGGACTCCCTCAGGAGTAGAAAAGTCTTGCAGAGATCTGAACAGACTAAGGAGCTGGGAGGCAATGATCAGCTGCATGAAGTTGAACAAGGGCAAGTGCCACATTTGCCACCTGGGAAAGGACAGTCCTGATTATCCTTAAAACTTGGGGAATGAGGAGTTGGATAGCAGCCCTGCAGAAAGAGATTTGGGGACCCCAACTGATGGCAAATTACACTCAAATCAGCAGTGCCCTGGCAGCCAGGAGGGCCAGCCCCGTCCTGGGAAGCATCGGGCCCAGCATCACCAGCCAGGCAAGGGAGGGGATTGTCCTGCTCTGCTCTGGAGCAGCCTCACCTCAAGTGCTGGGGGAAGTTTTGGGTGCCACAATATAAGGATATAAATCTATTTGTGTGCCCAGAGTAGGGTGGTCAAGGTGGTGAAAGAAGCCTGGATGAAACTAAGGGGTGAGCTCACTGCATTCTACAGGTTCCGCAAGGTGGGCAGCAGAAGGTCAGGCAATGAATTCTCTCTGGTGCCCAGTGACAGGACTCAAGGAAATTGAATGAATCTGCATCAGGGGAAGTTAAGACTGAACATGAGAGGAAGGTTAGTCACTGGAACAGACTCCCAGGGAAGTGGTACAGCCTCAAGCCTCCCAGAGTTCAAGGAGATATGGACAATGCTCCTAGTGGTTCAGTGAGAAGCAGGGAGTTGGACTCAACCAACACTACAGCTCCCTTCCAGCTTGAGATATTCTATGATTCTCTGAGTGTAAACTTAGACCTTACTTTACAGAAAAGCACTTGAAAATTTGGATACATTTATAATAGTAAAATTAAATCAGGCTTCTTACAAAGGAAACTACTAACAAACTGTACAGTAACAATGGCACTTTTTAATAAAAAATATATTACACACAATTTTTATTATTTTTTCCATGAGCATTTCTAACCCAAAGTAGAAACTCAGATGTAGCATCCTGAAGGCTCTCAATCTTGTAGGTAAGTAGTGAAGTGCTGTAGTTATGCTTCTGCATCAGAGAAGACTTTGACTGATCTTATTAAATCAGGTTGTTGCCAGAAGGAGTGGATCAGGTCTCACTACTATGTCACAACAGCTTGCCTCCATTCTCCTGTCTCTTTCCCCAGATTAGCATCCTGTAGCATCCATGAGCTGATTCCCACTCACTGTGCAGCCCACACAATCCCAAATGCTAACAAGGGTAGTTGCAGATCATCTTCTTGGAGCAACATGAACTTTTAGAAAACAAGAAAAGCCAACTGCAAAACCTCCACTTATTGGCATGAGAACTAGCCAGGGATCTCAGGAATCTGATGCAATACATATTTAATACACCATATAAAGATCTGCATGTGTAAGATGCTGTGATACATACAGTACCTTGTACATGTCAAATCATTGCTACTTTGTGTTTCTGAACACCATTCTTATGAAATATGGAAATAGTGAGTAAACAATCATGCTTATACTTACCTCTTTGTGATTATGACTGAAGTTATCACTTTTCTAAAATGTTCATAAAAACCCAGTACCTTAATAAATGCATTCATCAGGATTCCACCGCATCCTAAATATTTTTCACTGGGAACCTCTTGGCTTTCCTCCACCATTGTTCCCAAACTGCAAATTGTTCTATCAGGTCAAAAGTGGTGTGAGACACTAACCAGAATCACCTAGATTTGAAATTATAGGGAATTTGAAGACTTAAGGATAAGCTTTGTGTTCCACCTAATGGAAAGCAACCTGGTGTCTTAGGTTGCAATGTTAAGATGTAACCAGATGTATTTTCTATTACAGTGTGTTGAAACCAGGTGGAGTAGGGTTCTTTATCTCTTCCATTCCCCATCCCCTCTTGGGGGGATATCCTCTGTTAATGGGCCAGCTGTTAAAACCAGGTGGGGCAGTTTTCTTTCTCTCTTCCAGGACCCATCCTTTGACCAGGGAGACATCTTCTGTTAGTGGGCCATTGAGTCTCACTGGATTACTGATAAAATTACATCATCCCACTGTGAGACACTCCGCCCAGGGGGAGAAACCAAGCATTCCTACCTAGTTAAAATCTGAAATTGGAATACCAGATGAGCCCTTTTTCACTAGATTCTCAGAGGAAGACTGGGCCCATTTACACCATCACTTCAGAGGAAACCTACACCCTTTCTATAGGATCACTGCTTCAACAGAACACATTTGTCATTCTAGGAGGACTGCAGCCCCCATTTAATCAAACTTCTGTCAACACACTGACTAACAGGTGTCAGGTTGTGTTCTGACTCTGTCAGTGTTGTTTTGTATTACTGCATTTTTATTTTAATTTTCCTAGTAAAGAACTGTTATTCCTATTCCCATATCTTTGCCTGAGAGCCTTTTAATTTCAAAATTATAATAATTCAGAGGGAGGGGATTTACATTTTCCATTTCAAGAGAGACTCCTGCCTTCCTTAGCAGACACCTGTCTTTTCAAACCAAGACACCTGGGTTTACTGGGGAGATGGTCCTGCTCACTTTCCTTATCCATCCTCGACACCCCAATTCCTGCTCCTTCTTGAAGCTGGAAATAAAGATTACACACAGCCTCCTTATTGTAAAAATTCATGGATGAAAAGGCTTGAGAAGTTGTAAGTGGGGAGATCAACAGAGTAGGAAAAGCGACCTTTCCCTGCTCAGTGGCTGCCTACAGCTACATTCAGTACAGTGTAGTTAAAAACAGAGCAAACAGTAACAAAAACTGGAATCCATCCTACATAATACTGATTACTAGTAATGAGTCATGAGATGGAAAACATCAAAATTTAAAAGGCATTTGTAGAACCTGCAATTAGAACAAAAATACAGCACTTCTTACATCAAGTAGTTAATTACTCTGTCAGTCAGAAACTAGAGATAACCCCTAGTGTAATTTTGGAGAATTAATCTGATTTTTTAAAAATTAAACCCAAATAAATAATTTAAATCATAATTGTGACCAATTCTGCAAGTTTTCCCTTCCTACAAATAACAAGACATATTTGTGCATAACTTGAGGAATGAGAGCAGCTTAATGTAATTTTAATAAAAAATACAACATTTTAAGTTACACTTATATGCATCAAAACTTAAGTGTACAGACATGAGACTGATCATTTTTCCAAGGTAATTGTGTAAGATTTCAAAAATAGTTTGTTGCTTTACAGCATTTTTGGAAAGACCATCCTTTCAAAGGAATATATGTCAACAAGAACAGGTAGGATGAATACAACTGTGGAGATCACAATGGACAAGGGAACAGCCACCTGAGCTCTTAGAAAGGAGCATGGGCCTTGGGTTCAAACCTCGAACAAAAGTTCCTCTTTCCCCGCCAAAGGCAGATTTATGTGCTATGGCAGTTACAATGCAGAGGATCTAAAAGCATATTTTTGTCCTTAGTATGAGCCCTCTTTGAAGGACTCTGATACATCTTGGTTGGCAGCATCATACTGAGCAATGAAATGTTTGAGTTCTTCAATGCATCGCTCACCTATTTCATGCAAATTCTGCCTCAGGGCAAACTGAATGGACGTCTCTAATGATGGATCTTTATCAATTAGCATCTTCACTACCATGCCAAAGGTTTCACAGTCTTGTCTGTAGACCTAGAAACAACGCATTTTAGGAAATTATTAAATGCAAAACTCTTTACATTAGCACACCAACAGCCCTTACTGAGTTAGATCCAAATGTAACAAAGGATATTGGATTTAACATGAGTTTCAGTTGTAAAACTTACTGGCCATTTCCTCTCTTCTGACCTATGCTAATAAAAATGTAACTAGCTCAGCACTATCTGGATACCAAAAAAAACTTTTATAGGATGAAATACCATAATACAGAAATTAAGTTCCCCTCACAGCAATATTTAATAAATAATGGTAAAGCAAAGTACTAATGCTAAAATAGATTTTCTTTTCATTTCAATATATTTAAAATAAACTATGAAATGTCTAACAATCTCAATCTTCATACAAAGCACCAATAATTTAGTTCGTAATTTTTCCTAATACTTTAAATATAAGTTGTGTTTAAATAATTTCACCAAATTTTGTTTGTTTGTTGGATATCTGTTTCTTATAGAAGTCCTTGACAAAGAATACTTTAATTAGTTTGGATGCATTGACGATTCAATCACTTAGGATTAAAGAAATCCTGGCAGTGGTTTACCTGAACCCATCAGATCTTCTCCCACAAAGAATGGAGAGTTTGCAAGACAGTCATGCACCATATTTGAGGTGAACTACCTTTTTGTTATCTCTGCAACTGTTTTTCAGCAATAAACAGATGACCATGCTCTTATGCAGTTTCCAAAGCAAGTCAGTGATATTTAAAATTTCTTTCCACATTCCAGCTAAGTTCATTCATCTGAACACCCAGCAAAACAGTAACTTCTTGAAGTCTTCCAACTGCCAGATGCAGCTCATTTTCAAACTTCTTAGGCCAATTTCCATTTAGAAAATACATTAGCTTTTTGACTGAAGACAAGTAAGTTTTCTCTCTCCCATACATCTTTTTTTGAGGAAAAAAAGCTAAAATGTTGATATACTTCCAAGTGTGATTATCTTTCACAGAGGTGTGCAAGCCTTTCCTTTCACATCTGTTTTGTGGACAGAAATGACACAACCTATGCAAGCAATTTCCCTTTACTAAAAACGAAAGAAAAAGCCAAACAAAGCACACCCATCGCTCACCCAGTGAAAACCCATCCTAAGAAACCATTCATAAGAATCAGTCTGAGGTCAGCTCAAGCATCTTCATGTTAGAAAAACAGCAAAAAACCCCAACATTCTGTACAAAACTAAACTATTCTTAGAAACACAATGATTATCATGATACCTTTAATAAAGATAATTCTTAAATGCTTAATAGCATAGTCTAGGAAAACAGCTTAAGATCAGACCCACTTTTCAAACACTGGTTGGCAAACAAAAGAGAACCTTTTGGAAGGAAGTAATCTTCAGTGGAGGGTAACAAGTCAAGAAGAAGAGTGCAGCCCAAACTAAACTTGAGCCAAACATTTTTAAGTGGGGAAATGCACATGGCTTTTTTTTTTTTCAGAGAGGGGTTTGTCTCCTGCTTTGTAGTTCTTTGCTAGTAAAATAACAGCATAAAAGCCAGACCCTCAGAACTCATGCTCCATAGCAAGTAAAACATGGTACTTTGTAAAAACTTCAAACAGAGAAAATATGCATTAATATTTTTTCTCTCTTCCCAAAGAACAAGCTCAGAAAGAGCTGTACAGGGAGGCACCCAAGGCTGCAATTGAAGGAAATGCTCTACTTTTCATGGATCTGCAAACTACAGGCAAATAGTGCTACCTGCTACTTCTCCCACACACCACAAACAACTAACCCAGATGAAATACTCTCACTCTTAGCATATAAATACTAGCTTGATCTAAGCTAGTAGATTTTTCTACTGATTTTTCTTCCAAGCTTTCATAAAAGAAGACTTGGAAGAGAATCAAGAGAACCTTTGTCATTGCTGAATCTGAAGTCAGAAGTCACTTTGCTGTCACAAGAATCTGGAAACAAAACGCCTTCATCTAAGAGATGAACATTTTCAATACTTTGTGACAAAGATTAAAAATAATAGAATTTACCTAAATTAGGGGAAGAGGGCAAATGTGGAGCAGGTAAGCACTTTTAACAACAGAAAACAAAGGAATCAGCTCAGCTCCTCTAACAGTAATTGATCAATTTTCTCTCAACAAGCTTTCTGCCCCAGCTGCTAATTCTGATCCTCCTGGTACAAAATCTGCCTCCTTCACAATTGTGCTGATAATTCTATTTGTATAGCTGCAACATCCCAATTGTGCTGATAAATCTATTTGTATAGCTGCTACGTAAATTGCATCACTGAGATGCTCCCTTTTAAAATTATTTCTTCCCCCCACCCCCTCCATTAATTTGATTCAGTTATTCAATTCTAAAACCAGATGCATCAGCACAACTGAAAGAACTGTGAGCCAGGTTGTAAAGTGAAAACTTCACAAAAAATTTATATCAGAAGTCAAGGCACAACTACCAACTTTCAGAGATTATGTTACTATGCTTTACAGAAGGAAATGGTGATTATTAATTACAAGAATATCAATACACACTATGTTAATTAACAGCTTAATGGTACAATCAATTAGTTTAAAAATTTGTGAAAGCACTGAAAGCTCTTGAAAGAAGAAGAATTAATATCTCTCTTTAGACAGACTAAAAGAAGGCTATTTCTGACAAATAAGATTAGAATGTGATGCTTAAGGAAAAAAGAAAACTGCAGAAAAGAGCAAAAAAAAAAAACTGCAAAAAGAGCTCTCTGCTGGAGAAAAATATTGGAAGAACTCATGACCCAATAACATATGAAAATAACCCTATCTTTAAAATTCCAGCTGATACTGATTTTGAGCTCAGACCATGGAAAGCTCATCTGTAAACATCTGGAACTAAAACCTGAAAATGATTCCATGTGTGGAGAAAGAAGAAATAACATTTTTAAAATTAAAAACAAGAAAGGGAATGATACGAATGACATGATTATTCTGTCTGACATATAAATCAGATAATCCTGAAAACAGCTAGAGCCACAGGGTGATCATTTACGGTGGCCCTAGCACACATTCATTCTCTGACCTAAGCTACAGCACCAGCATAATGGAAAGAGCATGCAAAATTTTAGTAGATGAAGTAGATGAAGAAGAAGTAGAAACATCTGTTCTACTTCCAAATATATAAATAAATGTTTATATACACACACTGTATATATATCTACATCTGTATATATAGAGATACATGCACTCTTGCTTCTCCTATGCATGGCAAGTATTTAAGTAGAATTCAAGTTCTTTGAAGTGTTTTCCAAAATCAGCACATCTGGCATCTGTGAGGTCACAGGATCACAAATATGCATACTTTTATATTATTCTCATGGAATTTTAGAATGTTACATGATAAGGGCAGAGAGGCTCTGACTGAGATCAACCCATTGCCATGCCATTCTCCATGTAAGTACTTGACGCAAATATAAAATTGTGATGTACCTGCAATATATTAGTGAACACACCTCATTTATTTGAGAAAGCTAAACCAAAATTTGCACTTAGAACTGTTTAAATATAGCTGGAAGACATTTACTTCCAGACCTACTTAGAGCAATGGAGATGTCAGCCGCCCAGGTTGGAGGCAATCAAGCCCTAAAACTCCCCAGGCAGAATGAAACTTTCAAGAACTCCCTCATCTACATCTATGCCAAGTTTTCACAGTGAACTTCAAAGTGCCATCAACAGTGTCTTGAAATACAATGTATGACACTGACATGGAAAAATTATGGATACCAAACACTCTCTTCTTCCAGCTCAGCTGTGGAATGTTAACCTATGTAAAGGAAGAAAGAGGGGCAGAAGCAAGCACATGGCGGGGACTGCTCTATATCCCTCTTTCAATTATAATCTAAAAATGGTCTTGGCTTAACCAAAGAATGAATGGGTGAAAAACCAAAATTGTTGATGGGTGGAATTACACATGGCTAGGGAATACCTTGACAACATGCCTACTACTGATGAAGTCCATATAATTTGCTGCTTAGTCATGTTTTTCTTCAAAACTGTTCCAGAGCCGTACATATGCTTTGTGCAAAAGAACTGTTGGACAATATAAACAGTAATGACAATGCAAATTAGAACTTAGGATGTCCACCCCTGCAAATAACTACAGGCTGCAGAAGAATCATAAGAGCAATCTTGATCTCAAAATCTTGCATACCTGGCCAGCTTTATTTCAACAACAAGACCAAATAATGGTATTCAAAGGGAATGAGGACAAGCCTTATTTCAACACATGCAACAAGTTCCGTAGCTTAGCTCTACAGTCTGTTTTTTTAACTTCTCAAGGTGACTCAGAACAGCTAAAACCACAGTATCTATTCTAAACAGGCTTTGAGGAAAAGGTAAACAAGACAGAATTCTCTGATAATCACAATGACTCTCTGGAAGACTGGTCCCACCAGGATACAAAAGTTAGCCTCTGTATTTCTCATGTCCACAGCTTGTAGAAAGTAGAACTAAGTAGCAAATGGGAAATGCAAATTTCTCCTCACTCAGAAAGGACTCAAATGAATCTCTGCTTCTCATTTCCAGGAGAACTGTTCTAATGGATGTGCTTTATTTTATATGCAGGTATTAAAACACTTTCCCCTCCAAATATGGTTTTGAATGAAAAATACTGTGACACTTTTTTTGAATGCTCTTGGCTTCATGCACACATGAAAGCCTCTTCAATAGAATTCATCCAGAGACTTGCATATACCAGGCTTGAGCAGCTATATGCAGAAGATGGTCAAAATCCAGTGCAGAAGGGGGTATTCTTGCTCACAAAGACAAGTAGGACTAGCAAACATGATAAAGACCACATCCATTACGTGGATATAATGATTCAGCAAGTGAAATTGATGTTGATGATTTATTCTGTAATTTCCAACACCTCCTCTTTTTCCTCTCAACCTTTCCTGGGTTTTTTTGAGTATTTTTAATATTCCATGCATTTCAAAATTCATCTAACACTCTCTTGCCTCCACCAGAACTCATTCAGAGCAACACGATGCAAGTCGAGACTCT